TAGATAATAAAATATTATACTCTTAGAGAAAAAGGATCTGCCATCTGTGTTAGGAGAAAAGGGAACTTAAATCCCTTGTTGCATTCAAAAAATGCAAAATCTACTTTAGGAATCTTATTAAAAAATACAGAACATAATGTAATAGCACAATGGGTTAAAAAAAAAGGGTTGGCTAAAAAATATCAATTCCTATCTAACCAGTCTCAACTCACATATTCAAAAACACAAGGAAACAAAACAAACAAACAAAGCAAAGCTTTGAAAGGTTTCCTAAAGTGCAGGTGTGAAAATTTCTCCAGCTGGGGCTAAAACAGAATTCACAGTATTCCAGAACAACTGCTATGACTCTGCCAGGCCCATTTGCTCAGGTGTGGTGAGTAAACAACTCTTCACTCAAAAACCCATACAAACACAACTATGAACCTCAAGAATTCCATGCTCACTAAGCTATGAAATTTACCTTTCCAAATGAAACTTTTAAATTAGAGGAATCCCCACACTATCCATTTATAGTCTGTGTGGAAAATACTTCAAATATGTGGAAAATATCAATGAAAACTAGATCAAGAATATATTTGTAATTGAAACTGTCCTAGAAAAACTATTATAATGCAATATACTTTATTTTCCATGGGGTACCCTGTTCAGTGAAGAAATATGACCCAGGAAAGCTTTTAGTAAATATTTTATGTTAAGAACTACAGGTAATCACACTGATGACTTTATGTAATGGTTTTGACCTATTATTACCAATATGTCATAAGCATATCTATTATCCACGCAGGCCTGTTTGAGACAGAAGTTCATCTAACATCAAACCACTTGAGTAGTAGCAAGAGAGACACTGGCAAACCACTAAACACAACCCTCCCTTTTCCCCCCTCACAAATTTCATATAGGTTTGTGTGTGTGTGTGTGTGTGTGTGTGTGTGTGTGTGTGTGAGGAAGACTGGCCCTAAGCTAACATCCATTGCCAATCCCCCTCTTTTTGCTGAGGAAGATTGGCCCTGAGCTAACATCTGTGCCCATCTTCCTCTATTTTATATGTGGGACACCTGCCACAGCATGGCTTGATGAGCAGTACGTAGGTCCACACCCAGGATCCGAACCATCGAACCAGGGGCCACCAAAACTGAGCGCACGAACTTAACCACTACGCCACCAGGCTGGCCCCAGCATATAGTTTTAACTTACTTGTGATAGCATTAGAATGTGTTATATATAACAAATATGACTATGTAATATGCATTTTGTGATACAGTAATAACTTTGTATATTTTCTTCCAACATTCCTTCAACTTTCTTTCCAAAAATAATAAACAATTAGCAAGATTGGTGAGAACTGTGTTAAATCTATCAATTAGTCCTTATGATAAAACTATAATCAAATGTGATTATGCCCATTCTGGCATCTTTGCAAGATTCTTAGAACACATGGGACTGGAGCAAATTTCCACTATCCTGGAAAATAAGAACAGCCTTGTTTTGATTCAAGGTGGACACTTTCTTTTGCCTTAAGTCTTCAGTGTCCATCTGCACAGCTGCCCTGAATTTGGACATTGCCCGAAATTTGTAGTATTTAAAATCTGAATTATATGTTCAAATATATAAATGTGTCTAAATTTTTACTTCAATCATGATATACATCTATGAAAAAGTTTGTTCATACGTATGTATAAATGTGTGTTTATATATCAAGTTATCTAAAATTATGCAGCATATAATTTGATATTATATATATTCTGGATGATATTCATTGTTTCTTTTAGTCCAGAAAATATCTGGGAGAAATCTGAGTCGATCTATAATATGTCACAAAGTTAATCTAATCTAATCCAAGAATATACAGATAAGTGAATTAAACAGTTATCAAAACATTAAATAGTAAATCAGTGGCAAGGTGCTGAATCCCCCAACCCCTCAAAAACAGCATTCATGTAGTTATATTATAAAGTTAATATTATTATGAGAACAGGATGAGGAAAGAGCTGGACAACTGGGGGAGGAATAAGAAGTTAAAATTTTGCGAACACCAAGTACATCAATTGGTTTTGATTTCTTCTTATTCTTTAACTTGTCTCCCACTCTTTAGTCAAGAAAAGAAATATCAGCAGAGCTTGTGGTCCCCCAAAATGTAGATATGCAATATATAAAGCTGGCCCCAGTACAGTTTTTCAAACAATGTTGTGAAAGCAACATTGGGTCCAGGTTGTTTCAGAGTCAAAAGCAGAATTATAAATAATTTAAACCCAAAGGCTGGTTTCATTCTAATTTGTCAGTTCAATTAGAAAATGATGAATACAAAAATAGAAGAGACAGACTTACACTGGTGGAGACACTGCATCCTTTTTTGCAGGAATGAAAGCTCTCATCTGTGCTCTTCATGCAACTGAGCTAACATAATTACCCCAAGAATAACAGGCAGCAACCTAAAGAACAGGCTCCATTTTACTAACCAAATTCAAGACACTATAACCAAATCTTGTTTTACTCATCATGTGTTGCTAGGTACTTCCAAATTCAATTTATTACTCTTTTTGCAGCATTCCTGGAGAGCTAATTATGGGAAATAATCCCTTTCCTTATTAGGCCAACTGTTTTCTGGGAAGAAACATTTGGTAAGCGTGGTGAACTATAAACTGCTATTATAAATTCCATTTCATAATAGCTTATTCTTATATAGCAAAGTATCTCAAATCTAATTCCAAATACTAATATGCAAGACAACCAAGGAGCCTGTCTAAATTTCTGAGTGGTTAATGTTAATTCTGTGTCAAAGCAAAGAAGAATGTCATACGATTGTTTTGAAAGAGTTTTTCAGGCTTTGCCTTAGTAATTAATAAGCTGACACTGAATACTAAACACTTATCAACACAATCAATGGGGCTGCTTCTTCCTTGAGAAAATAGGTAAACGGATTCAAGGAGTCTTCTTTTGGAATAGACTGTAACATGCCACAAATATAGTGGTTCTTCTGGAGAATTTCATTCCCAGCAGTTTCGTCTTGGTAACATTTAACAATTTCACTATTTTAACATTTTGAAATGCCAAAAAGAACACACTGATCCCGCAGCTAGGCTTATTAGAGAACAATCTCACAGGCGAGACAGGGAGGCACACAGTCCACTGGGAAAAGGGTAACAGAAAAAGACAGAAAACAGTGGATAACAAACAAAGCCGAGCACTACTCCAACATGAGATCACATTTTCACCAGAATGTAAAACTTTACACACCACATTAAATACTATCACTTATGGTTTATTTAGGGGACTAGGCATAACATTCTTTTTAAATGCACATATACTCATGCTATCTATTCAAATTAGGGGGCATGGATATCTAATTTGCCTTCCTAACAGCGAGTATGCAAGCAGAGTCATTTTATTTTTGAAAGGTCAGAACTGAGCCTTCCCCCCCTGTGGCATTATTTTACCCCCACGGAGACTTAGGAACACAATGAGACCTCTTCCCATCAGACACTCCATACATACCTCAGCCAAGACTGCTCCTTGCCTGGAGTGGGAGACATCTTTGGAACAAAAAGAGTCCATTTACAGTAAGTTCTCTTGATAACCTAAAATGGATTAGTTTTTAAAAACCATGTCCATCATCAAGTCTCTCTTGCCCAACTATGGCAACTGCTATTGCACCCACAAATAACCGCTTGTGGTATACAACATTTAACATTCTGGAGGTGTGTGGATTCTGTTCATGTATGGATACGATCAGAAAATAATTTGTCTCACTTAAGAAACTATACATGGCCTTTTATTTTGATAAAATTGCTCTTAACTGAGTTAGAGAGCGGGGGAGGGGGAAGGAGTACCAGAAAAAAAAGGGACAGAGAAAAATCAATCAGTGTGTCTTCCCTTGCAAACTGTCAGTAAGGTGGGATTTGAAAAGCAACACTTTAAATCAGATAAAGTCCTAGGGGAACCTTAAAGGTTGGTTGCTCTGAGCTCAATATTCTGCAAAATAGATTCATGGCAGTGGTCACTCCACTGATACTCAACATCCACTGAGTTTCTGCTAAGAAATTGTATTTCTCCCATTGTTCAAAAAATGTTAACTTGGTAATAAAAATGAGAAGTTATGGGACCCATAGAGATATCTTTCCACACCTTTAAAACCAGTAAATCTGTTCTAATCTCTTATTGGATTAAATGCCCAAGGATGCTTAATATATCAAGAAAACAACAAAGGCAAGAAAAGCACTTATTTGAAGAAGAATAAAAAAGATGGGAGACAAAATGATTAATATGTTACTAATTTTTTCTTCTCATCTGTTCAATTTAAAACTAAAATTAGGAACACGCATGTTGCTTTTAAACTTTCAAACGACCAAATGACAGTGTCTCACGTCTATCACAGCAAACACATCTGCACTCAGGAGGTGATCCATTTATGACTGTGAGTCTTAGCAAGAGATAACACATCAACTTTATTCACCTAATGGCTAGTTCTGCGTTAAACGGTTCCATCAACATTCAAATCCAGATATTAGTTAAATGCACATTTATTATTCCTCAAAAAAAGAGTGGTTTCTGTAGCTATACTTTTTTATATCAAAAGTTTATTTGACATACATTTCTTTATATGACATTTATATTTTACTTGAGACAGTTTCTAGGTTTGGTGCAGAGATGGATGTATTTCTCGGGTAAAACTTAGTTGCTGGTACGGTTTATAGACATTAAGCACCAACTCAAGCGCCTGTTTCTCAAACATGGACAATTACACATTTTCCACAAACAGACATCAGTGCATACAGAGAGCCAGGTGCACACACATTCAATAACTAGTAAATGGTAGAAACCTCCAGAAGTAGCACAGACCACAGTTAACAGGCTGGGGCTATACAGCTAAGTAAACACCGACGCACGATTCGCTCACACGGAATAAGAACTCCACGAAGGACACTTGGGGACCACACTGGTCAGTACCCGAGGGGGCGGGAGGCGGAAAAAGTATTTCCAAATGCAACTCTGCCAGGTCTTACCCTTCGCATCCCCCGGTCCTCGGGGTGAAGCTCCCTCGGCACCTCTCGCCCAGCGCAGGGGCTGCTTCTCTGCCAGAACGAAATGTCCCCCCTGACTCCACGGAGAGCTCTGCAGGGAGCCGAGGCGCCCTGCCCGGGCCCGGAGAAGGCACTGGCGCCGCGGGAGCCAAGAAGAGGCAGAGGCGGAAAAGAAGTGGAGAAGGAAGAGGTGGCCAAGGGAGCAACGGGAGGGAGGTGGCGCCGGCGCTGGGATGCGGGCGAGGCGGGGTGGGGTGGAGCGGGGTGTGCCTCCGTCGGTCGGTCAATAAGTCAGTCGGTCCGCGCGCCGGCGTCCCCCGCCTCCAGCGTCCGCCCGTGACAGCGACAGAGACTGGCGCTCCCGCCGCCCGCGAGCCTCTCCCCTTCCCCGGGCTCTTTACTGGGTCCTCCCGCCCGCCCTGCCTGGCCGGGCGTGGGGCCACCCGTCACCGCCAGCTCGGGCGCCTGTCGCCTCGCCCAGCGTGCGCGGTCCCTGCCTCTCCCTCCGCTCTCGCTCTGTCTCTGGCTCCCTCTCGCTCCAGTCCCATTTATGAAGCGCGGTCCCATCACGTGTTAATGAGCCTTTGTCCTGCCCTGGCAGCGGCGGCGGCACAGACCCCGCCGCGGGAACTGCGCGGGGAGGGACCCGCGCACCGCGCAGCGCGGCGCCCGTGGCTCCAAACTTTGCTGGCGCGGGTGACCCGCCGCGGCGCCGGCCCCGGGGCCAGAGGGGACGAGCCTCTGCGGCCCACGTCACCTACTTCTCTTCCTCCTTCTCCTCCTCCGCCGCTGCGGTCCCGGGGGCCCCCACTGCCATGACCTGGCTCGCCTCCCGGATACCCTCACACCCTGGTCTAGCCAACAAGGGGCTCGTGTCTGCGCCGCCCCCGACCTCGGGGCCATTAATCACGCGCGCCCCGGCAGCGCGCAGCGGCAACACCTTGCGCGAGGGTCACGTCTGGGGTAGCGGGCTGAGCCGGAAGGGAAAGGGGAGCAGAAGAGAGAGACCGAGGCTCCCCGGACCCGAGGGTGCGGCCTCGAGCCCCACTCCCCCTACCCTAGGCAGCCCCCGCGGCGGGCAGCAGCAAGCCGGGCCCGGGGGCGGGCGAAGCCTTGGGACCGCCCCGCGCAGCCCCCGAGCTCTTTGCTACCTGGCGGCTGCCGTGCGGCCACCTGTCCGCCCTCGGGGCACCGCCTGGCTTCGCGCTGGGCGCCTTCTCCAGCCCCCGCCGCCCCCGCCCGGCGCGGACCACTCGGGCCCGCCCCACCGCCCGGCCCCAGCTGCAAACAGTTGGGCTCCGTGGGCGGCTGGCTCTGAGCCTCCCTGCCCAGCGCGCCCCCTCCCCAGCCGCCTGGGCGCCCCGCTCCTCGCACCCTCTCGCTGGAGGAGGACGCCCCCCTCCAGGGCCGGGCGGGGGGCGCGCGGGGTTCAGGGGCAGCCGCCGCAGGCGCCTAGGGATCCGCGGTGCTCCCGGCGGCCGCGGCAGAAATTAGGGGACATGCTCGTTAATTGGTTCCACTATCAGCCGCCGTCTCCCTCCCGTGTGCACGGATCAAACCTTAATTGGTCTTTACATTTATCATGGTGAATTGCGAACCTACAAACAAGCCCCAGACGCCGCTTCAGCAGAAAAGGCGCTCCCCCTCCCCCCGGGGCCGGGCAGGGTTGTGGCGGCGGCGTTCGTGGTGTTTAGACATCTTTATCTCTCGTGAGTTGGGTCGAGGGAGAATTGCTCGGTTTCCACCTGATGGAGCCACGTCACTCCGGCCCCAAGAGGCCCGCCGAAGGCACTTGGTTCGGTTCCCAGCCCTCCTCTCCGTGGTCGTCTCGGCGTTCATTTTATGATACCTCGCCAGGGATCCGGAAAATTGTGCCCCAGTCCTCGTCCGCACCCCCTCAACCCACCCCGCCCCTCCTGGTACCGACCTCCACTCTCCCCTCTCCCCTACCCAGAGCCCAAGAGTAATGGTAACACATCTGGGCCCCATATTTGGACTACGTGGCGAGAATCCGGAAAAACAAGCCCCTCGAGGAAGAGGAAGATTGGTGGGAGGAAGCCCAAAGTTGGTGGGTCCAGAGCACTGGAGGAGGGAAGGCAGTAAGTGCCTTTTGGAAACATCAGGCCAAATCGTAGAAAGGCTTGCTGCAGAGCGCTAGTTCAGTCTTTGAAAATCTCCCTAGACAGCTTTAGGTTAGAAAATGTATTTCCCATTTCCCCATCAGGAGAATGGCCATTTGAAATAGAGTCCACAACAGAAGTGGTCAATTTCTACCAGGTAGGTAGATGGCATAGGTTATAAGTAAAGATCTGATGGACCCATCGATAGATGCAGGGATGATTGACAGATAAGTAGGTAAATGTGGAATTAAACCTGAGGCCTAGAGCAGGCTCTGCTCACAGAGGAAGAAGCCATCTTCAGCCCACCTCCAGCGGAGACGGCTCCGTCTAGAAATTTAAAAGGGAGTAGAGGAGGCTTCGGCAGGCTTTGGCATCTATTGCTTTTTTTTTTTTCTTTTAGAGGTCATGGTTGTTAAATTTTACCTTCACCCCACACCCTTGGCAGGAGGAAATATTAGCAAAGTTTTGCCCTCCGTGTGACCTCCCAGACTCTAATTTCCCAAGTGGCCCTGTGACTTGACAAGAAATAACTTCAAAGTCTTGCCACTTCTGGTAGCATGGGTTCAAATGATTGCCAGTAATTAAAAGAAAATATCTAAGCAGCTCTGCCTCTCCCTGTGAGGAGGACATCTTTCAGGTGACAGGAAAAGCTGGGGAGCTGGGCTCCTGGAGCGCTTTTAGGCAACAGGATTTCACATGGGTGCTGCCACCCTCCCCGCTAGCTGGGTGATCTGTGCTCTTGGGGTGGCCGAGATGTTAAGCATTCCTCAGATACACCATTCTGACACGTCCTGGGGTGCCCCTTATAGGACATTCTCCCACTCATCAACCTACCCGTTGGGGGTCAACATCAACTCCCAATATGGGAACCATTTACAACCTATGGAAAGTACTCCATGAAATCTCTCATCTCAACTCAGCCACACCCACCTTTGCTTTTTCATAAAGAGGAGCAATCTGATTATCTTCAATGTCTCTAAGTCATCCCAAATCTCTTTTGATTGATGGTGAATTTCTTCACTGAATTTTGTGAAATTCCAAGCAGAAAACTAGGATCTGAATGGCCTGAAGTCCATTTGTTGAGTGACTGGCCGAATTGACCTGTGGACAGAGCTAATCATTAAGAATCTAATCAGGCAGTGACTCCAGCAGCTCTAACTCTTTAGCCTGTTATTCTGTTGTTCAGGGTGGGGGGAAAGCTGGAGCCTGACAGCTGGTGAATTGTACTGACTTTCCATTTAGAACTCAAGGATAATGCTCAGTAATGGAGTCAAAATTTGACTTGTGACCTGGCATTTTATTGCCACAAGTGAATGTTTTGTTGAAACTGAGAGAGTTATTATGTTGTTTGGAAAATGCTGTTCTTGTGGGCATGCTTGCACGTCTTTAAATAAAGTCTGTCCTGGGCTCATCGGGGTGTTAGACTGCCAGTCAAAGAGCTGTTATAGTTTTCCCTCCGAGCTGGAAGAGGGGCAGACAGCAGACAGCATGAAAGCAAGATGCTCTTTAGTGCCTCTGTCTGAGTTCACATTTTGCAAGGATCACCTTTACATGGGATGAAATGATTTCGATTCTACTTGTGTTTGGCCATCCACTGTGCTCCCGAGAGAGTCAGCAAGAATGACAAATGCAAGCTATCAACATCCCTATTGGGGACTTTATGTTGAGGGAACACATACATTTAACACAAAACATTGAATGGTCACCACAAACCTAAGTTGAATTTGAACCCATGACCTTCTGGGGAAGGACCCTGGCAGCCCCTTAACAGCCTTCACTAGTCCCCACACTGCTACATGCGAGGCTGTCTGGTTTTTTAGTTCTTTATCCTTTTAAAATTAGAACAGGGCTATGATGAGCCAATTTACTGCCGTTCTGTGTAATTTAGGTTATTCACTCAGTGAAATGTAGAGGATGAGAGCGCAGTTAAGGCTGTATATTTCAACTTCAAAGAAAGATCTCAATTTATTCCTGCCAAAGTGTTAATAGTTATACTGGACATAGAACATTAGAGAAGCATGTCCTGCTGCCTCCCTGAGACAGCTGTTGATCCAAAAGGAGCTATCCTTCAAGGTTTCTTTTTTTACTTGTGCTTGGTCACGCCTCTCTCCCACTCCCCAAAGGAGTGGTCTGTTGGGAATGATGAGTAATGTCCCTGGTTTGGGAACTGGTGCAGCAAAAACATCACTCTGTCTTAGAGTTTTGGAAGTTCTATCCAAGTTTGGCCCTCATATTTTATTTGGTACTTTTGGTGTGATGCTCGCACCACAGGGCCGGAACGCTCTCTGATTAAAGACATTTTTGGAATGATATTAAGACTACACGATTTCATTCTAATTCGGAGCATTGCTTTAGAGTTTCGACAGCTGTTATTGGCTCTCCTTTGAAGCATTAAAGCATTTTTTTTCCAGTGGCTCTGTATTGCTAGATGAGATTTTGCTTTTTCATTCCCAGGCTAAAGGGTAAGTGGCAGCAAGCCTGCACACCCAACTAAGACTCTGTCATCCCAAGCTCGAGGTCTGAAATGCTTGCTTAGGAGATGCTCTACCAGTGATACAAGCCACCTAAAGAACCTCCCGCACCACTTCTGCCTGTTTCTCAAAAGCTACAAGCTAGGCGTGGAAAATGACATTCTTTTTCACTCCGCAATCAGAAACTAAACTTCATGAAATCTGTTCTAGGTGGAGAAGCTGGTTGCCGGGGTAGGGAAGGAATGAGTGAGGCAGGAAGGACGATGGGCTTCTTTGACCTTGGGGCTCTCGGCGTTATGTTAGGCACAAAGAAAATCACCGCCGCTTCTCAGTGATCTTTCCATGTAACTAAACACATGCTCATTAGGGCTTTTTTTTTTCACCTTCTCACCTTCTTTCATTAAACCCCACTCTTTAACATCCCAGCTGAGCAGCAGCAAGGAAGGCTGAGAAATGACAGGAAGACATTTTTCCTTTGTTCGTATGTTTTGTTTTGTGTTTCATCACCAAGCAGAGGCTCTGTAATGAGGAGATGGATCATCCTTTCATTTCAAACCATATGAGGAATACGTTCTAACAGATAATAAACAAGCACATAGTGCAAATAAGGGGAGGGAGAAAACAGGTTAATAAAGCTTTTGCTCCTTCTTGATTAAACTCTTGCAAAATAGTCACCCAAACTCTGTAATTAAAAAGGCTACAAACATTATGTCTAAATATTTCGTTTTTAAAAATATAGAGCAAGCAGCAGTATTATAATGTGAAAATATGGCAAATAATAGAAAAATAGTACTAAAAGACATGTATTTCTTAAATAGTCACTTGGCCTGCCTTCTGAGGAAACTCTCTTCCTAGTGTTCTTCATGGTTTTTTCAACTTCAAGTAGGAACTTGAAGAAATGACTATCTGTTGTCGGTTGTGAGGATTAAATGAA